TCTAGTCAGAGTGGTTCGTTGCTGGACTCACAAAGTTCACAAGATCACATAAGATGTCAAACTGCAGGAAAATCGCTGGAGTTTTAAGTACACACCCACACCATGTGTTTGCTGTTTATTGTGGTTTAACCTGTCAAGGACAAAAACATACAGAAAATGCTGCATCAATCACAGCTTTCCTGGTTGTGTTAAGCCTGGCGTGACAGCTTGGTGGTGTGATGGTTGGTGCTGGTGCCTCACAGCAAGAAGGGCCTGGGTTCAAATCCACAGTCTGGCTGGTTTGCAGTGTGTAATTAGAGTTATTGGTGATTCTAAGTTACCCATGAATGTAAGTGCAAATGGTTGTTTGTCTCTATGAAATCATCAACCCCCACATTGGTTCATTAAGCAAGACTAGCACTAATCGCCTTGATTAACAAAGTAGTTGTTCAAACAACAGGATTTCATTAAGTTCTGCTGAAGCTTTTAACTTGTGTTGAATGAATTAAAACTTTCACTCTACATACTTAAATAAATCACTTCAAGTCAATGTAAGTATACTACATTGATCCAAGGTAATCTGATTACATCAAACCACCAAATGCCAAATGTGTTGGTTTGACATGGTTAAAAATGGTTTATTATACTTGGTTAAATCACATATGGGTTAGGGTTAGGGTGCCGTGACCTTTGAACTGGCGCCACATGCAGCTGCGCAGGTTAGCATCATGCTGGTCCACTCTCCCAGCCAGCTGTTGGCGGTAATGCAACACCAACTGCTTTTGTGGAGGATGTTTTATGCGTCACAGAGGAGAGGACATTTACTCAGCAACAAAAGAAAAGTTAACTGAGATCAATCTGACAAACGTTGTCTCCACTGATGGGTCAAAGGAGCAGTTACTCGACTAAAAGAGGACAACCCGGACCTGCTATCACATCACTGTGTTATCTGTTCTATGCTCCTCACTCTGAGGGATACAGAGAGGCCATGAATACCGTCGCTCAACTTACCTTTCTCTGCTTCTTCATGTCATCAGCATCACCTGCTTCGTATTTTAGCACAGGTGAGCGACTTACTCCTACACAGCAATGTCAGGTAACTAAGTGCTGGGGCTACGTCCAGTGGTGGTCAAGTTACATGAAAAAAAGTAATTAGTTGGTAATTACTGATTACTTCTCCAAAAAAAGTGATCCCATTACTTTACTGATTACTTATTTTTCAAAAGTAATTAGTTACTTAGTTACTTTTTAAAACCATGGTACACAACCTGAATATGTAATAAAGCAATAAACCTTTCAGCCCAAATCTATTTTATGCATAATCCATCATATAAAACTGAATCAAGCAGGAAGACAGCACCATCACACTGCTGTCGGGAACTCCACAGCGCATCCTTTACTGCACCTTCGCTCATCAACCATACAAGGTCCGGTTCAACGACTGCTGCTTATCAAACACGACGCAGTGTTCACACAACCCGTAAGGTTGCAGAAGTTTACTAAAGAGGTAAAACATGTGAAGCCCACAAAGTCACGAGGCCATCTGCTCCTGCAGTTTCTGGAGGATCAGACATCACACCTCAGTGATTTCCATTTGTGATTATCATGAAAGAACAGCTCTGTGTGTGATAACAGCTGTCCAGAGAAAACTTGACATTTTAAAACAGCACCTTCAGCAGGACGGTGCACGTTTCCCCTCAGGGAAAGAAATCCAGGGTGCTAACATCACCTCACATGCTGCATTTGCACAAAAACTGACGGAAAACTTTAAGGATCACTTTGATGGCTTCGCTTTGGAAGCTCAGCTCCACCTTTTCATGAAGAATCCCTTTCTGTTGAAGAATATCCCTGCATTCTTACAGGAGGATGTGCATGTCTGTAAATGGCTGGATGTAGGTTCTCTGCAAATGGGACTTGTGTATTTCCAAGCTGATATACAGGAGCAATGTGCAGCGTCTGATCCTGCTGCCTTCTGGATGCAGACTGTGCCAAAGACTACGTTTCCAGGACTTACCAAAGTTGCTGTTGCCTTAACCATGTTTTGATCCACATGCAGTCGTGAATCAGTCTTCTCAACTGTTAGCATGATTAAAAACAACTGAGTAATGAACATTTGCATACATGCTTACGAGCTGCATGGACCCCGTTTCACCCAGACATGACTGACCTCAGTGAGAGGCAGCACTGTGCTTTAAGTTACACTGTGATGAGTTTGTCAAACCTTTTTTCTGCACTTCTTCATTTTCCTGAATATCGAGGATTTTGTTAGGAGACTCTGTTGCACCATAATGTTCGTTTATATAGATGCTGCAAAGATTATTGGATAATTTCAGTGTTAAACAGTTTTTGTTTAATATCGGTGGTTGAACTGCACTTTTCTATTCAGCAGGTGATTTAATGGGCAATGAATAATTGATCCGTAGTTACAAGAAAAAATCTGTTAAATGTCGAACTGACTTTTACACTAAAGTGCAAAACTCTGAGCTGTTTGTCTGGAGTCTGCAGCTTCTCTGCTGCTCTCGTCTAAAACAGCAACAGCGCCATCTAGTGGTGGTTTCACCAAAATTAAGTGTCACGTCTTTGTTGTTCTTCGGGTTCAGTGGATCAAACCTGTAAAAGTCCTGTTTCACGATCACCTGGTTTTTTTTTTCATCTTTATGGTTAATATTTATCATAGCTTTTGCTGCACTACATCACAACGTTTCCAAAGATGAGCTTCAGAGAGTCCGCGACAGAAGTTTGTTGATATTATATTTAGAACAATTTCAGCACATTTACTAAGTAAAGTTTTTATAAAGTATTTTTACACTTTGACATAACAAAGCAAAGAAATAAAAGCTCAGAATAATCACAGCAAACGATCATATATGAAAATGCAATTGATCGCAATACAAACTGAGCTTAAACACACAAGACAAGAATGAAAGAACAGAAGGTAAAAAGAAAGAAAGTTATAATCAGTAAGAATTTCAACAGGAAGTCTCGTTAAACAGAAACATTTTCAAGTCCACAGCTTTGGTGCCTGAAACACTCTGAACGCCACAGGCCGTGGAAGCGCAGGCGTGGACGTCAGGCACATTTTATATTCTGCTCTAACTGTGCTGCTGCTTTTGTTCTCATCGTGCATTCGTCTTAATACATTCTCATAAAACAGAAAGTTTCATTGCATTGAGAATAAAGCGTTATCATTTCAGCACCACGGACAGCGCATCAGCTCCACGCTCTGTGACCACATCAGTCACTCACAGCTTTGACCTCACTGTTAAGCTGAATCACAACCTCCAGCTTTCTTGTTCAGAGCCACGTGAAAGCTGATGTATTTGATTGCAGAGTGAAATATTCTGCTGGGCTTTTTTACACTGTAATCCATGTAGTGCTTTACATAAGCACGAGAATGTTTAAATGAATATATATTTAGGAGAGTATAAAATATTAGCCGGAAAAGGGTGGAGTGCCCACTCCGGGTCGGGGATGAGTTCCTGCCCCAAGTGGAGGAGTTCAAGTATCTCGGGGTCTTGATTGCGAGTGATGGGAGAAGGGAGCCGGACATCGACAGACGGATTGGTGCAGTGGCTGCACCGGTCCGTCATGGTGAAGAGGGAGCTGAGTGTAAAAGCGAAGCTCTCAATTTACCGGTCGACCTAGTGTGCAGGAGTTCACCTGATTCCTGATTTCACTCCTTTTGTGTTAAAATATACATGTGTGGTTAATTATGATTATAAGAGTGAAGTTAACCCGCTCGCATTTAAAGCCAGTCATCCACGAGTCTGTCAGTGTCTGTGTTTCTGTCACTCCAGCTGACAAACACCAGCATGTATTCTGGGGTCACTGAAAGGCCAATTATTTTCTTAATCGAGGAACAGAGTGTCAGGAAATTCCTAATTTTCAAAGTAAAGGTTCTGTTACAGGGGGGAAAGGTAACTAAAGGAAATGGTCAGGATCCTTCAACATTACACTTTTGCAAAACAACAGCCTTCGATTATCTGTTGGACGTTATCGATGATCTAAAGCTGTGAAACTGTTGTCTCCCTTCAGCTTATTAGCACAATGATAAATGTGTTTACTCTCCTAATAAACTCAACTGTAGAAACAACAGCAGAAGTGTCCTACGTGTGGAGAAATGTGCATCACAGGGTTAACAGAGAGTACAACAGGACACACTGACAGGGAACTCAGGTCTGTGTAAACGGTGGGAACTAACTGGGGATAGGAAATAGACAGGGAACAGCACGCAGGTGAAGACGGTCGGACATACAGGAAGTCAAACTAAAGGTTAAACCTGCTGTCTGGAACAGGCACGCCCTTAAAAAGCACAGATGCAGTGCTGGGCTCCCCTGAGGCCTCGGACTTACTGTAGAGAGGTTATTCTGCTCTGAGCCAGCAGCGCCGTCCAGTGGTGACCGACGGAAACGCGCTACTCTGACGTCTTACCTGTTCCTCAGGTTCCGGTACATACCTGTAAAATATCACCTTTTGCTTGTCACCTGTTGCTGTGTCAAACTACAAACATGTAGATCTTACTGCAGTACAACAACACTGAAACTCACAGCTCAGCTTTAATCCAAACGTGATATAAGCGTGACCTAAACGTTAAAATAAAATAAAATAAAATAAAATAAAATAAAATAAAATAAAATAAAATAAAATAAAATAAAATAAAATAAAATGAAGGGGAGACGCTCACGTTTCAGAACCACCGCCTGCCTGCAGAAAAATCCTGCTAAAGCTTTGCATCATCCATCAGCTGCACATCCAGATACTTTAAATACTTTGAGTGCTTTTACCTGAATACATTTACTTTACTAAAGTCAGACCCGCAGAACTCTGTTTGTTGTTTTTCTTTAGGTTTTTATTACCCACTTTGTTTCGTTTCTGTTGTACAAGTTACGTTTTCTTTTCTATTTATTTATTTGTCGCATTTTCAAGCGTGTTAGTAAAAGTTTACAAACAGTAGATGGCGGTAGAGAGAAAAAGAAGCTCTTAATCGTCTCACTGAAGAAGAACTCGGATACCCATAATCCTCTTCTTCTTCCGTTTCCAACCATTCGAGTCCTAAGATGGCGGACCGGCGGCGAAGGAGGAGGCGCGCGTCCCAGGACAGCGAGGATGACGACGAGTCCGGGTCGGGTTCGGACAGCGGGAGGTCCGGGTCCCCGTCCTCGAAGCCCCGGGGACGGGAGCCCGACCCGGCGGAGCCGGCCGCGAGCCGGGTCCCGGCGAAGAGCGACGTGGAGTCCGAGTGTGTGAGTACCAGCTAGCGGCTAATGTTAGCTCCCAGAGCTCGCCCGGTCCCGGGCGGGAGATCAGAGCCGAGCTTTCCGGCGTTAGAGCATTTATTCCGGGCCAGAGACCCGCTCCGGGCCCGGGTCACTGTGGGAAATGAACCCTGGATAAAACAGCAGGTGACGTGTTCGAGTCCCACAGACAGCTCGGTGTTTGTTCGGCGTTAGCTCGAAGGAAACGGGTAACGGCTCCGTCTGACGGTTCTGGTCCATGACCCCGGGCAGCCTGGCGCTTCGGGCTGGAACAGACCGAGTAGCTCGCTTTAGCGCTTGTGTCCGAACCGGAAAGGCTCAAACTAACACGGACACCAAACGTGACACAACACCAAGGTGTGAGAGTGATGTCCGGGACCCCCGGGCTGGCTGCATCACGCACCTCCCCGTGACCCGAGGTCTGAGAGAGGCTCTGGGCTGAGCCTCCATTTTGTGGCCGTGGGTCTGTCTGAGATCATCCCGGGCCCCTGTGGTGGTGTTTGGCTGCCGTTTTTGGTCCCCGCAGCGAGGGGAAACATGACCGATTCAGTCCGAGCGCAGTGCAGCCTGAGGCGGGTTTACTGGCTCCAGGATGTTTACATGACAACAAACAGCAGATTAGTAAGAACCAATCAGCAGCAGGCTTGTTGATGAGTGGGCTGAAGTGAAATGTGAGTCCTGCCTGTGATTTCAGACCTTTGCTGTGTTTAAGCGCTGTTACTTTGCTTCCCAGTTTCCGGGCTTCATCTGATCTCTGCTCTCCTTCGGGTCGCCACGGCAGCTCTGCCTCCACCTCCTCCTTTCCCAGCATCCTCTGTCACTCCACCCCTCTGCATGTCCTCCTTAACTACATCCATGAACCTCGTCTCCTCCTGCCTGGCAGCTCCATTTTCATCATCCGCCCTCCCTCCTCTGCACATGCTCAGACGCTCTCTGACTCCGAGCTGTCGCTCATTTCTGACGCTCAGTTGCCTTCTACAAATCAAACATCACAGCAGGTCTCACCACCTTCTCATAAACCTTCCTCTTCACTCTGGTAAAGCCTGTTTTTTATCCGGATGCACAGACACAAAATGAATCTGGCTGTTGGCGTGAGATCAGACCGAGCGCCGGTTTGAAGAGACTGACTCTGTGAGACGTTTGATCTTTGAGCTGCGTTCAGACTCTGCTGAAGTAATCCGAGCTGTGCTGTTGGTGGTCTGTACGGCTGAATAACGTGCCCGGCGCTCTGTGACGCACTCGCAGCAGAGCTCTGACACAAAGACGCGTCTGATCCTCGACGCTTTGGAGCTTAACGTTGGTTTTCTTGTTTGTCGTTGCAGGAGAGTGAAGACGGCGTTGGAGAAGGTAAGCTGCTTCTTTGCACCACTCTGAAGTCACAATCTGGGAAATCAGGCCGCTGTCGGGTGATTTCACTCCTCTTTGTTTTTCAGCCGTCCTCTCAGATTACGACAGCGCCGACCCCGAGGACAACGGCTCGCATTCAGAGGTACGACCGCCGACTCGCTGCCTCCTCTCGGCTGTGACGTCACGTTTTAGCCTCTTTAGGGAGTGTTTCTCCTAAAACTGTGTCCTCCTCAGGGAGTGGAGGAGGAAGAGGAAGCAGAGCAGTACAGCGACGAGGAAGCTCCAGCAGCAGCCAGCGAGCCCCAGCCCCCCACTACAGACGGGCCTGTGGAGGGAGCGCAGGGAGAGGAGGAGGAGGGCGGAGAAGCTGAGGAGGAAGAAGAGGCTGGAGGGCGGAGCAAAGAGGAGAGCAAAGCAGAGGAGAAGGGAAACCTAGCAGGAGAGCGACAGAGCGGAGACGGACAGGTGAGACAGGAACAGGAAGTGAGTCTCTGCTCAGGCACAAGGGTAACAAGAGCGAGGGGAGGGATTAAAGACGGTACCTGCTGCCATCTGATTGGTCTGATCTGAACTTTCATACAGGAGTCGACGGACGACCCGGAGACGAAGGCGGGGGGCAAACCGGGGCAGCAGCTGGACGACGACGAGGACAGGAAGAACCCGGCGTACATCCCGAGGAAGGGTCTGTTCTTCGAACACGACGTCAGAGGGCACGCTCAGGAGGAGGAGAGGTAATAGCTCCGCCTCCAGATCAGCTCCGAGTCGTTTAAACAGACATTTGAAGTGAAGCACCGTGTCTGCTACATGCTGCACGCTGACAAACTGAAGCGCTGAGAGTTTAGGGAGGAGTTAGACGGGCTGGAACGCTCCGCCCACAGATTTGCGTCACTGCTTGCACGGGTCAGTCGTAACTGCGCAGGTTAGGGCTCGTTTTTAAAGCCTCTCTGCTGTTACCTCATCGATGTGATGTCATTGATGTCCTCTCCGTCTGTCTTCAGGCCGAAAGGCAGAAACAGGAAGTTGTGGAAAGACGAGGGCCGCTGGGAGCACGACAAGTTCAGGGAGGAGGAGCAGGCGCCCAAGAGCCGCGAGGAGCTGATCGCAATCTATGGTTACGACATCCGAAACGGTGGCGGCCCCGGAGACCGAGGGTACAGACAGCGGAGGCCCAGGTGAGCGGCGTGTTGGCTGAACGTTGAACGTCTCCAGAGCTGCGAGCTTTGGGACGTCCGCGGGTCACTTTGAGTGAGGTCATCACACTTCCTGTAACGAGCGTAGCCGCTGTTGGTTTGATGTTTGACCTCCGTCTCTGTCTCCTGCAGACCGACTTCGTCTCCCAGCAGAGACAAACGGTGGCGAGATGGAGGCGGCGAGCGGCCCGTCCGGTCCTGGCAGAACAGGGGAGGAGGTCTGAACCGAGGAGGAGCTCCTCCACCTTCATCTGTCCACCCCTCCTCTTCGTCGCCATCCTCTGCACAGCGAAGCGGCGTCCCCTCCAGACCGCCTCCCTCCCGTAGCAGACCACCCCAGAGTAACCTGCACCCCCCACCTTCGTCTCACTACAGGAACAATGAATCAAACGCACCCCTGGTGCACCACCGAGAGCGGCCGGGTCCTCGGGCTCAGGCGGAGCCTACAGGGGAAAGGGGAGGTGTCAGAGGAGGGCGAGGAGGTAGGGCGCCCTCTGTGGTCATTGAGGACATTACAGTCAGTCAGGGAGGGGCCACGGAGCAGGACTTGAGCGTTGGCGCCGTAACGCCGGCAGCGTCGCCACAGCCGGGCGGTTACCAGTCCACATCGCCGAGACGCCAGCAGGAGCAGCGAGGCGGCACGGACAGATCTGCATCAGGATTGGCCGCTTCCTCTTCCGGCTCCGACCCCTCCCTTCAGTCGGCAGCAGCGACCAATCGGGAAGCTTCCCCTCCCGCCGAGCGGCCAGTGGAGCGCAAGTCTTACTCGCTGGCTCGCAGGACTCGCTCGCGTCCCGCAGACCTGGGCAGTAAACAGGCGTCTGTGGAGGAGTCCGTTGCCGGGGGCAACACCTCTTCTCCCAGCAACGTGGGGGGAAAGAGCTGGTCGGGTGGAGGCGACGCGCCGAGCCAGGCGGGAGGAGGTGTGACGGAGCTGGACCAGGACGTGGCTCGGCTCAATCTGGCCAGGCAGAGCTGGAGCCCGACCTCGTACGTGCGGTCTGAGATGAGAGGTGAGCGCTTTTACACCGTCACCTCACAGGTGGCGCTCACGAGTCAGGTGGTTCATGCTAAATGTTGACTGAACAGCTTCACCTGAGGCGGCGCCAAAACAAATATGTACACCTCAGTGATCTCTGGTCCCTGTGAGGCTGAAACACCGGCAGCTTCCTGATGTCTCACATTCTTCTTCTCTCTGTAGATGTTTGGCTTTTTCTAACTTTATCATTGCTCTGAATTCTCATGCAGACTAAATCTTACGTGTTCCATAAAAGTCAACATTTGAATGTTGTTGATGATGAATGTGGCTCCATGTTGGGCCCTGTTATTTGGCGCCCCCGAGCGCGTGTGGTTGTCTGTCGTTAAACCAGTCTCTCTGACCGCAGGCCTTCCTAACCCCCTGCACATGCCCAGCGGCCCGCCGCAGTTCTCCAGCATCGAGGAGATGGGTGTTGGCAACAACCGGGCCAAACGCTACTCTTCCCAGCGACAGAGAGCCGTGCCCGAGCCGGCGCCGCCCATGCACCTGGGAGTGATGGAGGGACACTACTATGAGCCCAGTAAGCCTAAGATCACGTGACCAGCACCACATGGCTACGTCACATCAGTTTCCAGCTGTTGTGAAACACCGCAGCGTCCTTTTATGAAAACGAGCTGCTGGAGAAGAAAACGTCGCCTCGCTGTGATTAACCTGCTGTCATTTTCTGTCTCAGTGTCGTACCAGGGACCAATCTATGCCCACGGGGATAGCCCCGCCCCCATGCCGCCACAGGGCATGCTGGTGCAGCCTGAGATGCACATCCCGCATCCCGGTAGGTGGAAATGAAACATGCATGAAAGAGTTCGGGTCTTACGAGGTCAATGGATGTTTTCACGCAGTGACCTCATGTCTTCGTCTCTGTTAAGGTCTCCATCCCCACCAATCAGGAGGCCCCATCGCTAACCCCGCCCTATACGGAGGCCCACCAGTGTCTCTTTCACCAGGGCAACCACAGCAACTGCTGCCACCGCCTTTCTACCCTCCACCGGGGGTCATGACCTTCCCCTACCCCACCATGTACCCAAACCCACAGGTACTGATGTCAGTTTAAAAGGTGGCGTGGAATTCACTCTGATTGGCTGTCTTCCTGTCTTTGAGCCTCAGTTTGTGGCCAGTGTCGTGTTCTGTGCAGGAACAATAGAGTGAAAGTTTGATCCAGGAGCTCTCTGATTGGTTGCAGGGTCAGACCCAGGTGACCTACGGAGGCGTGACGTACTACGACACGGTGCAGCAGCAGGCCCAGCCCAAGCCTTCGCCCCCCCGCCGCACATCCCAGCCCGTCACCGTCAAGCCCCCCCCTCCAGAGGTGCCCTTTGCCTCAGAGTGACTCTGCCCCTCACCCCTCCCTGCCACTCCATCTCAGCCTCGCTCTGGTCCAAAAACTGTAGGTGAGTAACACCTGAGGGGGGGGAGTAGTGGGTGTTTTTAGGAGGCTAATGCGAACGAGGAACGCCGCCCCCTACAGGTGGGCACAGGAAGTGCACAGGTCGTTCTTTGTAGGCTCAGGCTACGTCCACACGTAAACAGCGTTTTGGGTTCACGTGTTGACGAGGAAAACGTAGGTTTAGCCGCACATCGTCAAACATGTGCGCCACTGATCAAATTTACAGACTTCTGATTGGCCAACGTGTTGACACGGTTTGCATTATATCGCCACCGGCAGCTGTGGCGTGTTCTTCACAGCGTTTGACTTCGTTTTTTGTGTTTAGGTGTGGACGCAGATCCTTTTTTTTTTTCCCAACTGTACGTGTGGACGTAGCCTCAGTAAGAACTGTGACGGAGGAGAAACGAGCGAGACGATGCGCAGGCACAGAACTGATCCAGGACTCGTTATCAAAGTTTCATGCTTTAAACTAATCAAGTCGTTTAAACAAAAACAAACATGATTCTTTTTTCTTTGATGTTCGTGTGTCCCTCTGTCCGCAGGAGCGAGGTGGGCGGGTCGGTGAGGAGCTGCGGTCCAAAAACATCCACCATGGTAAAGGAGGGAGGGCGGGATGGAGACAGGCTCCGCCCACAGCATCACTGGTGGATTCAGACTTTCTCCCCTTTTTTTTGTTTTGTTTAGCCCGTGTAGCAGTCGGGCGGGTCGGCGGTTCGATGCTGTATCTTTGAGCAAAATGGGACTGACGAGTTGACGAGGAGTCGACCTCGGCGCTGTCGGTGCTCTCAGAGTATTTTTATTTGTTTTCTGTTGAATCTTGGAAACGGTTTTCTGCGTCAGGCGCTCCTCCTGCAGGAGGACGCGTCGTCGTCCATCCGTCGCAGTTACAGAGTTTGAAGACAGCTCGGCTTGTTTTGGCTTCTGCTCAGTGCTCATTCCTCTAACTTTAACGTGTAATCAGCAGATAAACATGTAATAAACGGTTAATAACACTTTATAAAGGTGCGGTAACTCACGTGGGCGCTCAGAGGTGCAGGTAGAGCAAAGATCGCTTCCTCCGTGTTCGGACGGCCGTAGTTTAGCGAGACGTCGCGTGTGTTTCAGCGTTCAGTGAAACTGCAGTTCAAACTTTAAACGAGACTTCAAACCTGGAGGAAACAAAAACAGCTAGAATCAAATCCAGAGCTTCTCTCTGACAGCATCACTGCAGCTAAACGCACTCAAACATTCCTGAATGTTTATAATCCGGATATTTTGCTGTGTTCCATCACAGCAGTCTCACACGTGTGACGCAGACGCGTGAGACTCGTGAATAAACTGAGTTTAGCGACTTGTTTCTGTTTAAACGGATGGTTTTGACATCTCTGAGTGTTTTTGAGCTTCAGGAAAATAATTCCAGCTTCTCGTTTTTCCTTATTGTAAAGATTCAAACTGCAGACCTGTGATGGGGGCGGGGTTTAGGGTCCAGCATTAAAAGAAGAGTTATGTATTTTGTGATAAATGAAGAGAATAATTAGCAGATTAAACATCAGATAGTTTAAGTTGAATTAAGCTGAACTTTCCTTCATCCTTTATGAAGGCCTCGAGTCCTGTAACGGCGCCGCGTCCCTTTAACGTGCGGCTGTCTGCCCTCCTGAGCGTACACGTGTCACTTCCTGTGGGTAGGTGGAGGCGGTTCGTGTTGCTGTGCAGGCGTACGTGTAAATAGAAGCTGCAGAGTAGAAACATATTCTAATAGGCATAGAGGAGCTTCGGCAGGGACCTCGAGCGAATCGATGGATGATGGAGAGCGGCCGCGTGGGTTTGGTTTCCTCTGTTCTCACGTCTGTTTCTTTGGGTTTATTATCGTTGTTGTTGTTGTTGGGGGTGCGTGCCGCCTCGTCTCTTTGTTTTCTGCACGCAGGAAGCTCGAGCTAAAACTTGATGATGAACGCCAGGCTGTCATGTTTCTGTTTGTTTGCGCTCCGTGTTCTGGGAGCTCGTGGTCGGACGTTAGCGTTCCTCCTCTCGTTAAACTCGGGGAGTTGTTTGACTGATGGGTGAGGACAGAAGCGAGTTGCCGTTAGAAACGCCTGCCGTTCAGCCCGTTAGCAGGGTCGTCAGGAGAAAACAGGTTGAATTTAACAGGAACATTAATCGTTCCTGATCCCCGTGCTGATGTTTGATTGGGGGGATTCCTCTGATGGCGGGGCTCGGATTCAGTGGGAGGAAGTCGGGGTTTTGGTGCTTGCATCAGAAACGACACCGCTCTGATCTTCGTTCACCTTCATCGGAGGAGGAAGAGGAGGCCTTCGGCTGTGACGGTAGCTTCAGCTCCAACCGTTAATGTCCACAGATGTTTCAATAAAGTTTAGAGACGTCTCCTGTTCTCTGGGTCTTTCTCTTTGTTCTCTCAAATAAATCCTGCAGAGCTGGAGTTGGGCTGACTGCTGTGACCTTTGACCCGAGCCGCCCACACTGCTCACTGTAGCTATGTCCCAATTCATAGGCTGCATCCTTCAGAGAAAGCCTGAAGTGAGCGGCTGTGAAACGGGACGGTCGAGCCTTCAGATCTGCGTCACCGCTGTCTGGGTGGAGTTTAATAAACTCGCCGTCTGCTCCTTTCTATCTAAAATATATCAGGACACCGGAGGAAACTCTCGACCGTCTCACACTTCTGTTTATCAGTTTTCCGTTTGACGTTTATTCAGCGGTGTGAAAACTAGAACTTTAATCTCAGCCACACCGATTTACTCACAAACAAATGAAACACTGAAAAAAACAAACAATAACATTTTTAGGTTGTTTAAACGTGATGTATGAGTCACTTAATCTGAGCAGCCAAGGACCGCGGGGGGTTTGAAAGCGATGTGCCGGGAGTCTGGGCGGCTCCAGTGACCCTCGAGCTCCCGGTCAGCTTTGAGCTGGTGGGTCACAGACATCCCTGAAAACGTCGCAGCACTTTTGCAAATATGTGGTGTCTTGATAAACAGAGCAGACATTTGAAGTTTACACAGCTACGTTCTCACCAGGAAATATGTTAAACGTTTATTTTGTGACCCAGAAAGATTAATAAGAGTAACATTAACGCTAAAGGCTGCCGCCATTGTTGGAAACTGGAATTGGCTGGGCCACACTATGAATTCTGGGATAGGTGGGCCACGAAGGACACACCCGATCCATCCTTCAAATCTGGGGGAAAGGAGGACGCATTTGGAGGAGTCTTCGAATCGGGACAGCCTTTGTCACCTGGCTGTGATGTAATTGGCCTATGAATCGGGACATACCTTGTGACCGCAGTTGTTTTACAGTGATGATGATGACTGCATTGATTTGGTTCTGTTTCTATGTGGAGAACGTCGTCGTCCACGCAGAGGGTCAATAAAGAACCTAAAACATGTTTCTGCTCACTGTTTAGATTTATTTATTTTTTAAATAATTTTAAATCCAGCAGAAGCTTCAGGAGGGATTTGGGTTCAGCACCAGCAGTTCTTCAGATGTATTCAAATCAATCATCCAGCATCTGAGCAGGACGCCTCCTGGGCGAGCCCGGTGGATCCAGAACCGTCTGCTCACATCCTGTCGGTCCACTCTGGTGTCATCAGGTGTCGCTGAGGTGTTCAGGACACTGAGCGGCTGATGGGCAGAGCCACAATGAGGCAGAATCATAAAATCACAGACTTATATAAAAAGCAGCCAGCGTGCTGTCAGTGTTTGACTCTGCACTAATTATTCTGGAGCCTCAGTGTTTGTCTTTTGTTTGCTGCAGCCAGCATTCACATATTTTGTTTCATTTATTTAGATTTTTGTTTTCCATGAATAACAGTGATGATGAGAGCAATGCAGTGAGTCAGGTGTCAATCAGCACCTGTAAAGAAGTAAACATCTCAGACAGAAGCAAGTGAATGTGAAAAATGATCAAAATGGACATCACAGCAGTCCCTCTGCAGTCTGGGGTTCAGGCTCCTCAGTGGGGGTTTGGGGGGTCTCGTTGGGCCCTTTGTGTCCTCGTGGCCGCCCCAGTTTTCCTCGGTGCAGTAACTATTCCGTCCAGCAGGCGGCGGCAGCGCGTATTGACTCAAGCCGCCATTATCCCGTAGTAGAAGGAGGAAGAACAGAGGGGAAGCATCCAGGAATTCTGCCACAGTTCTCCTGAAAAACCTCCTCTGCGCCATGGAAATGTCGGGAGCGGACAGCGACTGGAGGAGCCCACAGTTCCGACAGAAAGTCGTGGCTCAGATGTGAGAAAGTCTCTGTTGTTCTGTTTAATGTCACTGTTTTGGTTTGTGTTAGCCGCTCAGGCTAAGCTAAAGGCGGCGCTGTTAGAAAATGCGTCATGTCTGAGCAGGCGTTTAGAAAACGTTAAATTAAGAAAAACCGGTAAAAAAGCAAAGCGAGCTCGGATCTGATGACACGACGGGACACAGAGGACGAAAGGTCCGGATGGTGGCTTCTATTCGGCGAAGAGAAATTGGACAAAATGACGCTAACAGATCATTTCTGTCAACTTTCATTGTTAGCACCATTAGCTGCTGAAGCTAATGAGTTACAGTTATCTGCGCTGTGAGAACGTTCACCTGCATGACTGAAAGTCAGGCTGTGTAGTGGGAATAAGCGGCTACAGTCAGCGTGAGATCACGTGACTCTTCTGCTCGTACACAGTCAGGAAAGTAAAAAACAAGCAGCTCAGGGCTGCTTTGGTTTAACACGGGAAAGGTCGCCGGTTCGAAACCGGAGGATTTCTTCAGGTGGGTCGTGAACATGTGTGGATTAATTCCTGAAAGCAGCGGATTACAGCAGTGAGGTCCTTTTAATAAAGATTAGAGTGTCCCCATCTTTATAGAGAGAAATGCTGCTCATCAGGCTGAATGGGTTCAAATCCACTGTCACAATGTTCCATTCACTCCTATAAGGGACGCTGAAAAAAGGCAGACCTGAATCTAAATAATCTGAAAGAGGTGTTATGATCAGTTTGAGTCAGGATACTCTGTTGATCCTGGGTTCAGATTAGGTTTAAAGTGGGCACACTGTTTGAACTGTCCTCCAAAGGCTTCTGATACAGTGCATTGATGTACTGTCCGAGTAAAAACAGAAGCAATAGAGCTCAGCGGAGCAGCAGATCATAGTCTTCATCCAAACTCAGTGCTGTGGAGTCTGTGAGGTCGTTCGTGTCATTTCTAGTGGAAAGAAATCTGTATGTCGATGTAAACAACAGCTCCTCGCGGTGTACCACAAGGCTCTGCTTTAGGTCCACTGCTGTTTTCCACCTGTGCCGTTTTTCCTTTATGCAGAACAGGGAACATTATTGTTGACGGTGGGAAAGATCCAAAAGCTTTTGTTGCATTTAGGAAAGACGTGACATGTCCTTTCTGCCAATAATCTAAAAGTTAGCGAGGTCTGAAAGCATCCGAACATGTAACGTCGGACCAAAATATACGAGCATAGGAACCTCCACTCTGTCCCACAGCAGCAGCAAACAGGTCATTTATAGAAGCTACGTCGTTATTTTTCATCATGATTTAGACTTTTTTTCATTATTAGGTATCAGAACCTGTAATATACAAAGATTACAGCAAACAGCTGGCACGTGTGACTAGTTTAACTGTTGTAGAAGAAGATTTGGATAACAAGTGCTTTTATTTCAATAAAGAAGATATAAAACCTGCCCTCGCAGTTGTAACAAAATGAACACATTTTAATACATTAATAACTTCCTGTAAAACACCTTTCCCGTTCAGCTACGTTTCCCCGGCTCAGCGATCCTGACGTCCCCGTACAGTCTTTATCCGTCAGGATCCTTATCCACATGCAGACTGTGGTGTTCCAGGATTGGTTCAGCGTTGCGATTTGAGCCGTGTTAACTTAACGTGTTCGCTGCTTAGAGTCGTTTCTGTGGTGTCTTCTCAAAGGTCCGGTTCATGTGCAGCGTCGTGGTTTTAAATTATGCATGTGATGCTCACGGTGAATGAATGAGTGTAACTGGGGAGGTGGGGGTGAATGCAGAGACCAATGAAGATATCAAGGTGTGTTTGTGACGATGAGTGTGATTCCTGCAGCGAAGAGGCCATAAGGAAGGCAGGAACCTCGAACACCACGCACAAGTCGGGCACGGACATGGAGAACCACGTCTACGTCAAAGCCAAATCCAGGGTGAGTCCCGCCCACCGCCGCCGCGTCTGGATTAGTTACTGCTGACGCTGCTTTCTGAAAATGATTGGCTTACAAAAGAAGTGAAAGTCGTTACTGATCAGTGTTAACGCCACCTGCTGGGCAGGTTTGAGGGGACAAAACAAACACAGGAGAGCCAGATCGCACCAGCAGACTGGTTATTAAACTACAAACTGGGACCGTTTATGAGTTATTTGATCAGCCTTATTTGTGGAAGCAGATCACTGGTTTTAGAGGTTGTTTGAAGCTAGAGAGCTGCATTTTTTATATCACGATAAAATGCAGAATAACAGAAGCAGGTTTAATGCACACTGAAGTATTTAAATGAAGCCGTGAATGTCGCCGTTCTCCTGAAATGTCCTCGAACGTCGTTCAGTGAATGTAAATTCTGCACCATGTGTCTGGTTTTTCCTCAGGAGGAGTATTTATCTCTGGTGGCCCGGCTGATCATTCACTTCAGAGACATCCGTGAGTATCCGAGGAGCGCATCGTGCCTTAGTGATCGCAGATCAATGACCTGTCGCCGATCTTATGGGTGAAGCTGGCGTTGGACTGCAGGTCACAGTCACGCACTAATCTGGTCGTTTGTTGCTTTTGATTCATTTGAGCATCAAATTCAGGAAAAACAAGAAACACAATTTTATATTTCATGTTAGAAAGACAATGTGCTCAGCAGTCTGAGAGCAGAACGCACCCTCACTGATTTACCTGCCGGCAGGCAGGAAGTGAGTCTTTACAGACTCCATCCACAAAAGCAGAGTGAGCAGGAAGTCTCGTTCCTGTGGGTACAAACGCTTTTTCAAATCAGCAAACGTGACTTTGACTCACATCGCTCATACAGCAACCTGTAAATGTCTGCTGTTTATTCACACCTGTGCTGTTCAGAGAGGGGGCGGAGCTTGTCTCCACATTCATATAGAGGAGTTGTTTGTGTATTTAGCTGAGTGGATCTGCTGCTCAGCCCTGAATCCTTGATCAGAGTTATTGACGGCTGTGTCCTCTCTGCAGATAAGAAGGCTCATGGAGGTTCAGGTAGGTGGGCTTCGTGTCTCTCTGGTCTCCCCTCCCCCGCCCCATTTGTTTTCTTTGCTGTGTTCTGTCCTCTGCTGGACCGGTCTGTACCGGACTCATGGCGTTCATGATTTCTGCTGTGCATGTTGGAGCTGCTTAATATGGTCTGTTGTCTACCCTTCTGCTAGATCCCATGAATGCCCTGAATACCCTGACAGGGGTTGGAGGGGGTCCTGGCGCCATTGGCATGGGGCCTCGCCCTGCCGGTGCTCCAGTGGGTGGCATGGGGGCCATGGGGCCGATGCAGATAGGCCAGCATGCCATGGCAGGGGTGGCTGGAAACCCACAAGCCAGTGAGTGTTTCCTCCATGTGGTGTTTGCTGTAAATGCACATCTTCCGAGTGTTCGGTGGAGGCTGGCTGCGTCTACATGCCACGTTTCGGCGTCAGAGCCGGCCTGATTTTCAGTCTCTGCTTTAGCACGGTGTGTGTCTGAGAGTCCAGAGCTGGCCTCGCACGCTGGCCCGCTGCTTCATCTCCCCCTCTCTCTCCCCCTGCAGTCGGCGGACCGGGATCTATGCAGCAGTTGGTGCAGCAGCAGCAGCAGCAGCAGCAGAACGCCATGCAGTTCCAGCAGTTCCAACAACAGCAGCAGAACGCCATGCAGCAGCAGCAGAACGCCATCCAACAGCAGCAGCAGCAGCAGAACGCCATCCAGCAGCAGCAGCAG